TAGATCCTGCAGGAAGAGAAGTTAACCACATCTTAGCTTTATCACGCAAGGAAAAAAGGAATAATCTCAATCTAATGGCATCATCAGTAACGCCGTTATATTTTATAGTGTCACAAATTTCAAGAAAAGCATCTAAATGGATATTAGGATCATCATTCGGCAATCCACTGAATTGGACTGCGTTTTGAAGCATATGAATTAGGGAAGGCTTAATTTCGAAATTGTTAGCTTGTATGGTTGGCCTCCTAATGCTCGATATTGATCCTTGGACCGTAGGTGCAGCATAATCCTTCAAAGTCCTCCTTGGATTTTCTTCTCCCTGTTGGTTTTCAGCCATGGTGTTGTTGCTTTGCTCTCGTCGTCGCCTTAGAAAAGTGCGCTCAATTTCAGGATCAAACTTCTCAAGTTCTCCCTGTTGGCTTCGAGTCATGCAATATTCCACCCAATTCTTGTACAGAGTCGAATTCCTCTTTCTTCTTTTTTTTTCTGTAAAATCAAACTAATAAAATTAAAATAAAAAAATAATGTTAGACTAAACCAAGAATTGCTCGGTATTAATAGTAATTGATAATTATCAAATCAATCCCCGGCAACGGCGCCAAAAACTTGTTCGTAAAATTCTGCACGTGTCAACGAACGTGTTGAACAAGTAATATAATGATGAGAAGAGTATCGTCCCACAGAGATTGATGATAATAAACCAATTAAATATTAAAAATTGACTAATTCTAAAATTTATCTAACTGATCAAAATATAATTGAGAACAAATAAAAATTGACAATTTTTAAAAATGAAATTTTATAAACTAAAGGCAGATAATCAATCAGGTAAAATATGTTAGAGCATCCGATTTCACCATAACCACTAGATATGAATTTCGGATCATTATGCATACAAGAACAATATCAAACATGTGATAGTGGAATTCCCTAGTCTATTTACTATCCTATCTCTAGGTATAGCAAACCTACTCAGTTTATCAATTCACTATATTTCTATGTGAATTTAAATAAACATAAGCGCATTAAAATCTGTGAATATTCCCGGTTTACAATGAATCTTTTAGACCACCTTATCATCGAAAGCTACACAATAACATGGTATATTTCGATCCACATTTAATTCATGGTTATATATTATAAGGAGCAATTGCATATTATTACTTTTTAGTCTCAAACATGCACATCGGATCATTCAAGTGGTGGCCAATCACCTAAACGCATTAAGCACGATAATATATAACTCACATGAATGAAATTACTTGCAAAGTATAAAAAACATGAAATTCATATCATCATGGTTAGGCTACATCGTAGCTCTAACAAAGAAAATTAGAACATAATAGAAGAAAAAACGACAATAGAAATTAAACCAAACATCTTGAATCAAAGAACAAGAATTCTGTCACCACTTTTGTCTTCTCTTCAAAATACTTGAAAAACTCTCAGAACACTGAAAACAAAAACGATCTAAAAAAAACTCCATGTTCTCCCAAACTATCATATTTATATGATAACATCCAAGACTTCTCTCACAAGGCAATTGCTTCTTTTTCATATAAAATTAGGGAATAAATCGCAGAATTCCCAGTGTGATATCTACCTTCTAACTCTTCTCTGGGTTGCATATTCCTTTCCTTCTTTTTGCCATATTTTCCTTATTTTCTCCATATCTCAATATTCTGCATAAACAAGGAAAAATTAAGTAAATAAAAGGAAATCCAAATATATTCTAACAAATATTGCATTATTTATTGCCTAGAGTAGATAAAATAACTCTATTTTTATAGAGTTATCATTGGCATTTCTCTCTTTTCGAAATGAGATTAAAAAAAATCCACGTTCAAAAGGGCTAAAGAAACCCCGGAAGCTTGAAACCTCGGATCGTTTGATTGAACGAATGGGTCAACGAAGGAATGAAACGAGAGAGAGCGAGAGAGGGGTTTTTGTTTATATGAGAATAGGCTTGAAGTTGAAGGTGGTACCACGTGTCCGAGGTTGAGTGGCATGCCAGCTTAGCAGTGTGAGAGGGGAGCTCGGAGGATGGGTGATGTAAATGCTTACATCCAGCTATCCTGGCCATTTCTCCAAGTCGGCTTAGCTTGCCGCCCGGAGATCATTCAGCGGCTGTGATGTGGTCCGGTGCCCTGTTTTTCTCTGCTCTGCCTATATAATCCTTGTGTAAGCTCTTGCAGATGTTGCGTACTAAGCCCCTCGTAAAAAAAAATTTACGTTGTAGATTTCGCCATGATGAATAAATCAAATCACAATACAACATAATGTTATTTTTACAAACATTGGTCAAATATCAGAATGATTTATATTTATTACTTTTGGATTGCTACACATTTGTATTTGAGGAGTTCCATGGGTTTCGATTTACAGCAAGCATATGTTAAAGTATAAAAAGGCTTCGGTTGAAAGTTTCTCAGAAATGGATTTACTAATTTCGATCCGGATCATTTACTAATTTTATTTTTATATTTAACTCTCTCTACACATTTAAATGTTTTCTTCACACACATGCGTGTACTCTTTTTACTCGAGGGGAATAAATCAATTTTTTTACATGGATTTAAAAACCTAAATCACAATCAGTTTCATTCATCATTTTAGTATCATGTGATGCAATAAAATACATTGAATGCACACATGACCATCGTCGTTGTTTGGCCTTGTGACATTACGAGTGATTTATGAATGAAATTATCAGGTAATTTTGGTAAACCAGTCTCAAAAGCACAATGATAGTGATCAAAACGGAGCTTTGTTAATCTGGTTAGCTATCTTATTGGGTGGACGAGTAACGAATCAAGCTTGTACCTGTCTAGCTTGTTGTATGTGCGTAGTTCAATTGAACAAATTATTTAGAACTTGTGAGCTATCCAATTAGCTATTTTAGTTTGAATTTTGTTGTGTGGAGATTGCTGATTTTGTAATATAAGGAACGAGCTATAAACTATATCAAACTGACAAAGCGTGTATCCGAAACAAAAGAATAGTGAATGAGAGTATGTGATTCTTTTTTATATACTCTCATTTCCCCTTTTTCTCTCTGGCCCAAAGGAAAAATTTGCCCTGTTTCTCCAATTTGACCATTTCTTAGTTCTTTTTACTGGTAACGCAATTCCATGAGCTTTATTTTCCAATGCAACTGGATCAAATGGGAAGTAATGGACCTAAATGCACTTAGGACTCAAAACTAAAACTGGCACTCTAGCAAAAGATTTAAAACTGCCTTGCCGGGAAGGGGCTGGTGGGAACTTACCGAGATATGCTTAAACTAGCTCAAAACACGCTTAACTGCAGAGGAATTTGCACCAGAAAGAATTGTAATCGTCATCATAATTTATTCTGCTATGTTGTGTAAAAGGTGTTCAAGGTAAATAATACAACATGAGGTTCATATCCGACCCAGCATTGGAAGGTTACTGAGCAAATCAAATTCATATAACGAACACGTCACCACATCATAAAATCTGTAAACTGTCGTCCCAATTATTTCTTCAATTCGCGACGAACACGAATGGGCCTACCAACATTAAAACGCAAACAACAAAGATAGGCAAAGGCAAGTCGCCAAGCAGGACACACAATAGGAGACCGCACTCGACACATCCAAGAAAAACAGCCATCACAGCAAAAGCAAGTCGAAAACTTGGGTCAAGATCTGGCCTTCCCATCTCGAAGATTAATTTTTGCCGAATGATTTTGATCGCTTCACAGATAAGCGTAATGCCTGGTGCATTGAAAATGTCGGCCGGACCTATAGAACTATGCCTGTCCTTGATGAGCTGACGCAAAGCATTGACGAGGGAATCAAGTCCTCCACTAACTTGAGCTGCATGCTCTAACACATTCCTGGGAATAAAAATCAGCGAATTACTTGTTAGTCAACCGTCTTTGGCAGATCTGGACAAAAAAAAAAACTGTCTTTCGCAGAAGCCTAGACAATATGGATCAAGAATAAGCATACGGATAGATTAACAAAGAAAAACATATGAGCGATTCGCGCTTGTACCATGGTTTCAGAATGAAACAATGGAAATGACGAATTCACCTGATCTAAGTACATTGTTTCCTAATAAAACAGCATAAACGTGATGAAACACACACAGAGACATCATAAGAGATAGGAAGTTCTTTTTCACGAGAGGAAATGAAGACAGCACACTCGCAGTCCTCCACACTCACCTTCTTTCCAGCCTCGTGATTTTTAAAAAGACATGGCAGCTATTATGGATTTCACTTTCCTCGGACAAACTCAGCTGTTTTAATGGTGTGCATACTTGAGTGGGATTATTCCTGGTATGAGTCCTACTGTATTCAACTCCCGAACGGATATCATGAAAATTTATATATTCACACAAAAAAAGGGGCCGATGACTTCAAGAAACATTCTTACTTTTTGACAGATTTACACCCACTGAATATACTCAGTATGAGCACAAGCCACCATGCTCTGTTCTGAGAGTCGAGTCATTATGAACAGCGAGAATAAAAACCTGGATCAATTAGCAAAATAATAGAAGACAATATCTGGGTGGTATGACACAGCTACCCTAATCCAGGAAATGCGAAGAAACAAGTCAATTTGCATCCACCAGATATTCCCCGAAGTACTTGCTCTGTTCTGAGTAGAGCCCATTTCTGCTCTTTGAGAGTAAGTCATTATGAACATCTCAATCAACAAAAGCTAAAAAAAGAATAGAGGAAAAAATCTGGATGGTACAAATTGGTGTAATGATCTGACTATCACAATCTAACGCGAGAAGCAGGCCATTTTCCACGGGCAAGCCACTGACCCAAGTTCAGAGTTCCAGAACCTGTTTTACGTAGAGTGCCGGTTTTGGCATTATTTCACTCACAGCGGACATGATCAAAGATAGAAACAGGACAGGATATCAAGATTTTGGCATTATTTCACTCGCAGTTCTCCAACTGACCTACGGAGACCGGGCTACAGCAGTCAAGATATGTTTGAAATCACCCAAGCTTACCTCCTACCACCGTGATCAGCTGGATTGTTGTTCGCCATTAACCTTCCAACTTTGCCTCGCCAATCTCTTCCTTGATCTCAGGGTGGGTTTTGTCACACCAAACTATGAAAAACCACATCGAGTGAGAGTTTCCAGTAAAATACGGATTATAAGGACTGCCGTCTTTCAAAACGGGATGGTGGGCCTTGCCTAAGCCGTGGGGCTTGGAAGGGTGATGGTGACGGGCTCGAGTCAAGCCCCCTATTTATTCTGTGCCAAGCCCGTCACCATCACCCTTCCAAGCTCTGTGCCAAGCCCCCATTTCGAGTCAAGCCCGTCACCATCACCCTTCCAAGCTCCATGGCTTGCCAAGCCCCCGCGAGGCAAGCCCGTCACCATCACCCTTGTAGGCAAACCCCACCATCCCGTTCCGATTGAATATTTGCTTTTTCATTGTACTTCCGATTGACTATTTTTAATGTGAAAAGCTCACAAAAACCTACGACGGAGATGGAGTAACTATTTTATACAATGATCATTTCTTTCACGAAAAATTAATGATTTAAAAAATATATTTTTAAAACTGATCGCTTATATCGTTTATAAAAATAAATGAACGAAAATGTTTAGACATAAGTTGTTATCGATAATGAAAATATTTTTCACTTATTAATTATTTCAAACGATTATTTTTTGGAAAATATTTTCTAAATTACTCATTTTCCGAGAAACAAACTGAGCCTAAATATGAAAAACCCACTCCATGGACCTCCAACGTGTAGTTTTTCATATTTAAGCCCTGGACCAAGGGAAAATTACACTTTGGATGCTACTCTATTATAGAGAAGTGAGGTTGTGGAATATGAATTACGTGGTTCTGATTTTCCTGGTAAAATAAAAGAATATAGGACTCTTAATTATTCAGAATATAATCAAATCATATCTACTGACCTCCCTCATAGTATTGTCACCATAGGTCCGTAGTAGAGTTTAACCTTGGAGGTCCATGGTTTGACTTTTCTAATCCGGTTGCCCATGGTGTATTTTTGTCTTTTTTCCTTTTTTTCCTTAGTTATTGTGTATTCTCGTAAAAATTTTAGTTTTTTTTTCTTGTTATTATTTTTTTTTGATAACCCGGGAACCCCCCGCACGGCCGACAGCCGAGGAGGTAAACCCGGGGTGACGCTAGCGCAGGACCCACCACCACGACGTCACGTTTAAGAATCCCTAACGCCAGAGCTGGGATTCGAACTCCTACCCTTCGTGGGGGAAGGAGAGCCCGAAGCCAGCGCAGCCGCTGAGGGCGGTGGTTGTTTCTTGTTATTTGACCTTTGACCCCACCAAAAAAAATTATTTCTACTATCCTTGACCCATGAGAACTCATATTTTGTTTCGACAAAATTCGTCACGATTTTATTCATTTTTTATAACTCAAAATGATAAAATAGAACTAATTATATCCTAATCAATTAACGACATTATATTAATGCACCGCTGTTAAAACAGGCTGTCCCTACCTACAATGCACATGTAGGTTATACTTCTACAACGATGCACAGACTCATTAGCCATGATTTACCCAAGAAGCATGATTTTATGCCATGCGTCAAATTCACTTTGAAACTAAACTTGCAGTTCTGGTTGTGTTCATGTGAGTATATGTATGGAGATATAAAAAAATTGCACGATGTTCAATTTAGACTCGTATCTTGATAACTTTGTTTATTAGAAAAACCATTGTCTTTTATGGTGCTTAAAGAGTTCGAATCCTTACATTTCATATTTCACGTGTGAGGCCCGATTTACGTACGAGGAAAGTATTAAGATGTATTTCGTGTTGGAAGTACTTGAGAAATATGCTTGATACACGAGCAAGTAGTCTATTGATTTTAATTCCTAGGCACGAAGCAAGCTCAAAGCCCAAATTGCTCGAGTGTAACCAGCATCTTGATTCCACGGAGGAATCGTTGCTATGAGCCATCGGGGACATTTACCCATACTGGTCCAGCCAACATTGCCGGAGGACCCATCAAGCTTATGTACACTGTGGTCAAAATCGCCCTGCAAAAATTAATCTGTGAGATGGGAAGACGAGATTTGGACTTGGGGTTCCGACTTTATGATGGGGTCGATCGGTTCTTTTTTTAATGATGTTTAGTGAGATTTATTTAAATATATACTTATAGTATATCACATCTCTGTAATTCAAATTTAACAAAGTTATTGTCTTAGTATCCTCAGTATTACCTTTTCTTCCTTTAGCTATTCTCTGGAATTGAAATAGACAACTAGTCACCTGACTTGTGATTTTACTATTAATTAGACAACTAATGTTTTATATCGGATAAAAAATGAAAAATGATCTTTGAGAAAAAGAGAACAATAATGTATTGAAAATTTACCGCGGAAATATTACTGAATGATCCCTATACTATTACCACTATTCAATTTTGGTCATCATATATTATCTTGTGACTAATTGGGTCCATCAACTAATCTCCAATTATCCTTTCAAGAAAAGTTATATATCTTTCCAGATATCGAAGGATTATGTTGACTAAGCGTCAGGGATATACAAACGGCATTAATGTTTAAAGACAACATAATTATTCAAAAGAAATCACAAAATGGTCCCTGTGTTATTGTCAATGTTAAATTTTGGTCCTCATACCTTGATCTTACGATAATTTAGTCCTTATCTTTTGATCCTAATTTCAAATATTTTCTTCCAAATGCATACAGAAATTGCTGAGTAAGTTCAAATCAATACATTAGTTCACACATCAAAAAAGATTCACGTGCAAAGAAGCTTGCACGTGTGATTCTAGTTAAGCTTTCCTTCTAAAAATGTCGCTTTTGTTCGCTGCCTAGCGCATTTGTTATGAATATTGCCCATGTATTGTGGAACAACCATCTTGTAAAGGACAATATAGCCTAGAATTGTAACACTTCCCTACCTTAAACGGGCCATATTGGCGAAAGTAGTACTTAAGAGACGTTCATTTAGAGAGTTGCTGTTAGGTCATCAATTCTAAAGACATTAAAACAGCCTCACCTTGTCAAGGTTTCCAAAGAGCAAGCCACGTTGCCATTTTTCATTGGTTATCTGACCACCCCATTAATGTACATTAAAAGATGGGTTAATACTAAGAAAAATCATAAATTGATACGCTTGTGATAAATATATCAAAAAAGTAATTTTTTGACCACCAAAAATTCAAAGTGGTACACATGTGATAAATTTATCTTTCGTTAGTTTTCATTAAATTTTATTATTAAATTGCTAAGTTGGATGACACGTGGTAGTCGATGAGTGGACTAGTTTAGGGTTTTATCCCTCTATTTGTCACAAGTTTACTAGTTTGTGATTTTTCGTGGTATTAATCTAATTTAACGAAGGGAAAATTTGCCACAAGTGTACCAGCTTGGGATTTTTGATGATCAAAGAATTAATTTAGAGTAAATTTATCACAAGTGTATCAGTCTGGGTTCTTCATGATAGCCATTAAAAGAACACTAAACATAGCACAATCAAATTGTGGGGCCAACGTCTGTAGAGGGCACCAGATTCGAATCTCCTGGCTCCTCCAAAATTCTTTTAATTATCTATTGACTTTTATAATCTTGTGTTTGTTTATGTTTTTTCAATGACATGAGTAATTTGATATATATATATCCCTAGATATAATTATACTATTGCATTCTGCACATGTACTTAGTATTTGCCAATAATTCTATACTTGAAAAAGAATTCGTTATACTATGACACTGTTGTTTTGTCTTTCCTTAATTGATGCTCCATTTAGCCTTTGTTATATAGTAAAATAGTGGTAAAGAATCATCAAATTCCTCATTTGCCCCGAACCTTGACACCTCATGCTAAATGGTATTTATTTCTCTTTTTTGTTCTTCTATCGAAGTTATTTTCATTTATCAATTGTAACAAAAACATGTACCTTTTGTTTATTTTTGTTGATTAATCTTTGGAGAGCAGGACAAATCAACAAGATAAACAAAGATCTGTAGGTTGTTTTATTTTTTAATTTTGGAGTTACTTTTACCTTTTATGAAAATCTAGGGTGCCCTGATGAGTGATGCTTAGTTTAGATGCTATGCTATGTTAGGTGTTAGCTCGCTTTGCTCTATACAGTGCCCAATTGAGAAATTTGAGATATGATCCTCTAAAAATCTTACTTATTAACATTGAATTTAAATCTAATCATATTAATTTTATATTTATATCTTACTCTCTCCACACATTAATTTTTTGGGTTAATACCACGAAAAACCATTAACTGGTACACTTGTGACAATTTTACCCCGAACTATTTCTTTGATCACAAAAAACCTCACACTGGTACACTTGTGATAATTTTACCCCCGAACTAATTTTTTGACCACTAAAAACTCCAAACTGGTACATTTGTGACAAATTTACCCTTTGTTAGTGTCCGTTAAATTATATTATATCACAAAAAATCACAAATTGGTAAACTTGTGACAAACAGAGGGGTAAAACCCAAAATCGATACACATGTCAATTACCACGTCTCATTAAACTTAGTAATTTGACAGTAAAATTTAACGGAAACTAACGGAGGGTAAATTTGTCATAGGTGTACCAGTTTGGGGTTTTTGGTGACCAAAAAATTAGTTCATGGGTAAAATTATCACATGTATATCAGTGTGGGGTTTTTTATGATCAAATAAATAGTTCGGGGTCAAATTGTCACAGGTGTACCAATTTAGGGTTTTTTGTGGTAAAAAAAATAGTTTTTGGTAAATTTGTCACAGATGTACCAGTTTAGGGTTTTTCGTGGTATTAACCCTAATTGTTTTCCACGTGAAGGCATGTACTCTTTTCATAGTATGGAAAAAAAAAAAAGCAACTTTATGCGTGGATTTAAGAACCTAAATCTCAATCGGTTTGATTTGTTTGTCATTGTCGTGCGATGTGGTAATATACATAACAAGCACACATAGCCATTGTTGTTCGGCCATGCACTAGGCATGAGTACCTCGTGACATTTCTGAGTAATGTATGAATGGAATTACCTAAGTAATTTTG